TTGCGTCATCTGATCGGCTTTTCTGGATCGGCCTTTATAGAGACCGCCGATCACACATCCCAAAGCAATTATCGGCCGATTATGATCGGCGACCGATCAATCGGAGCACCCTTATCATTAAGCGTTACAGATTAAGCAGCTACGCAATATTACAGTTACTGGAAGAAATCAAAGATGACATCGAATCTCCGACTCAGCGTTCACATTCCATTTCAACAGTTGTTAAACTCCTCGCTACATTACAATTATTGGCATCAGGATCATTTCAAACAGTCATAGCATCAGCAGTGAGAGGAGGAGGCCCATTCAATTGCGCGTTTAAATACGTGAAATTTGCGGTATAGTGGGTGGGGACAGGCGCGGATTACCTGACGAACTGCAGGTTTGGTACATAACACGCACACTGCGGTTTCACATCAAGCGCTTTCTGCATCTTGGCCATGGCGCTATTAATGCTGCGTTCGCAAATGTACATCTGGCCCTCAGTGTCTTTCAGTTTTTCTATTTAGTAGTGATGTAATGTAGTTTAGATATTTGCAAAGTAATTGAAATGACCACCCTAGTGAATATTTGAACAGCTGACAGGACACTATGCCTCAAACCTGCACATTTTGGATGTCTACCTCATCTAACACATTCAACTCATCAGCTCATTAGTAGAGATGACAAGACTTGAATTGAGTGTGTTCAATGGGGAAGAAAGCAAAATGTGCAGTGGTGGGGCGTCCCCAGGACAGGTTCGAGAAGCACTGCTCTATGGCAAGGGTGCAGGATAGACACCCCTCCCATATGGTTACACTACTCACGAACTTGCATGAGTTGAAGGGACGTGATCTCTGAGAGCATCTGAAAGCGTTCAACCCTTCCTCTATACTTGATGATTAATCAAATGTTGTCTTCGGGATCTTCATCCGCACATGTTTAGAATAGCAATGCATTGCATCTCCATACTGTTATGAGTCAGTGTTTTCATATCTTGAAGTGCCTCATCTCAAGCTGTTCTTATCTTCTGCCAGTAATATTCTTCGAGGCCGTGGATAATTGTATCTAATGGAGTTGCTCACGATGTTCCTCAAGGGTCAGCTGACCTTTTTCAGTTCCTTTCAGCTCTCTTTCCTTCAGTTTGTTGATACAAAAATATGCTTTATCTTGTTTGCATCTAATGACATCTTCAAACTAAAGTAGAACCCTCTGTAAAGTGTAATACCTTGTTCTAATTAATGAGCCTATTTCAGCAAGATGTGTGCATGTGAATACATCTATTTAAATGGTAATGCATTCTTACGGTTATGCGTTTTTAGTCATTGCAATATAGGTAATGCTAAGAAGTGCTACAGGGTCCTGCTTTGGCCACTCTGAAACACCCCTGAGAGTTGACAGCCCCTTCGCAGAACTACTTATTAACAGTTTCTCTTTGATGGTCCTTAACCCTGGAGGTTTGACCACCTCTTCTGAACAGATCTAAAGTGTTAAGCAGCTTTTTCATCAGCTCAGAGAGCGAGCGAGAGAGAGAGAGAGGCTCAGACTTATGATTCATAATACAGGATGCATTTGTGAACAGATTTTGTGTGTTTGTGTACAGAATTTAGCATAAGTAGAGAGTCGAATTTAATACTACGCACAGTCATCATCCAGGACTATAATGGCCCTGAGCAGTCAGAGGCTTAAACAACAGGAGAGTTAGTTTAGGGCCGAGGGCTCAGAGTCTGTAATTCCAGCCGAATCCGAGCGAGTGTGCTTCGCTTAAGCTCCCAAGATGGTGAATTATAGGCTCTTCCTTCATCCTGTGAAGATGTGGCTTTTTGTTTATGGTTCCCCTGTAAGTATTGGTGTAAACCCTCTGTCTGCTCTCAAGCATTATATAGAGAGGGGAAATGAAGGAGAGATTGGATGGAGAAGGAATGCTTGTTTAGGTTTTGCTTGAATAAACCAGAGTCAGATGGGTTTGCAGGTTGCAATGGATGCTTACAAGCAGTGCGGACCGACATGCTATCAGTTAAAGCTCTTTGCCGCTGTAGGGTAGTATGAAGGAAGCAGATTGCCTGTTCGCTCTGTTGCTTTCAGGGGATCCAACAAGCACAAACATATGCTTTTTGCTTTCTTTTGACATATGAATGCAGCATGTCACAGATGTTCAGTTTCTCTTCATCTACCTGTACACATGCCTTTATAATTGATCAGAAATCTCTCCTCTGATCAAGTGAGCTAAGGAAGGATGTTAAGTAGTATCAGTTAAAGAAAATAAAAGCAATATTCTTTATTTTAGATGATAACAATACATTATGATATACTTTATGATAAGTAATGGGTGTAATGCATTACTAAGTAATTCATTACTGCAATTTTGATTACTTTGAAAAAGTAAGGGAAGTCATTTAAAAAGTAATTTAATTGGTTACTTCTGATGTAAATGCATTAATTGTTGTATAGACTTCTATAAATAATTCTAAAACAAAAGTGGTTTTAACATCAAAATGTAAAGTCTAATGATAAAAAAAAAAATTTAAATGTAACTTTCTCCCTGTAAATAAAGTTACAGTAATAATTAGTAATAAATAAAGCAATACTTTTTAGAGGAAGTAATTAGGACAGTAATCTAATTACACTGTTGAAGATGTTAGTTGCTTGTAATTAATTATCATTAACGCTGTTTATGATAATGTTTTTGTTTGTTTTTTTAAGGACAAGTGTTTGTAACTAATGGAAAACTGATAAAAATGACCAAAGGGTCCAAAATAAAGGAAACAGTATATTGTCACTGTCGGGTATATATATCTTTTTTTTCTTCTTTTTTTTTCATAAATCATAATTGTATGTCCCTTTTATGTCTGTGTGTGGGTTTTGCAAAAATCTAACCAATGAAAAGTAATAAAAAGAGCTTGTAACTCCATTGGATCCTCAAACTCTCCGTAAAACCTCATAACTCCACCAACCTTTATTGTGAATGAAGTGCCGCACACATTTTGGACCGTATCTGCTTGTTTGCAATGCAAAGGTAAATAAAGAACTGGTTCTTTGAATAAGTACAGCATTTTCTTTACTCAAGAAACACTATCTATATATATATATATATATATATATATATATACACTCACCGGCCACTTTATTAGGTACACCTGTCCAACTGCTCGTTAACACTTAATTTCTAAGCAGCCAATCACATGGCGGCACCTCAGTGCATTTAGGCATGTAGACATGGTCAAGACAATCTCCTGCAGTTCAAACCGAGCATCAGTATGGGGAAGAAAGTTGATTTGAGTGACTTTGAACGTGGCATGATTGTTGGTGCCAGAAGGGCTGGTCTGAGTATTTCAGAAACTGCTAATCTACTGGGATTTTCACGCACAACCATCTCTAGGGTTTACAGAGAATGGTCCGAAAAAGAAAAAACATCCAGTGAGCGGCAGTTCTGTGGGCGGAAATGCCTTGTTGATGCCAGAGGTCAGAGGAGAATGGCCAGACTGGTTCGAGCTGATAGAAGGGCAACAGTGACTGAAATAACCACTCGTTACAACCGAGGTATGCAGCAAAGCATTTGTGAAGCCACAACACGCACAACCTTGAGGCGGATGGGCTACAACAGCAGAAGACTCCACCGGGTACCACTCATCTCCACTACAAATAGGAAAAAGAGGCTACAATTTGCAAGAGCTCACCAAAATTGAACAGTTGAAGACTGGAAAAATGTTGCCTGGTCTGATGAGTCTCGATTTCTGTTGAGACATTCAGATGTTAGAGTCAGAATTTGGCGTAAACAGAATGAGAACATGGAACCATCATGCCTTGTTACCACTGTGCAGGCTGGTGGTGGTGGTGTAATGGTGTGGGGGATGTTTTCCTGGCACACTTTAGGCCCCTTACTGCCAATTGGGCATCGTTTAAATGCCACGGCCTACCTGAGCATTGTTTCTGACCATGTCCATCCCTTTATGGCCACCATGTAACCATCCTCTGATGGCTACTTCCACCATGTCACAAAGCTCTAATCATTTCAAATTGGTTTCTTGAACATGACAATGAGTTCACTGTACTAAAATGGCCTCCACAGTCACCAGATCTCAACCCAATAGAGCATCTTTGGGATGTGGTGGAACGGGAGATTCGCATCATGGATGTGCAGCCGACAAATCTGCGGCAACTGTGTGATGCCATCATGTCAATATGGACCAAAGTCCCTGAGGAATGCTTCCAGCACCTTGTTGAATCTATGCCACGAAGAATTGAGGCAGTTCTGAAGGCAAAAGGGGGTCCAACCCGTTACTAGCATGGGGTACCTAATAAAGTGGCCGGTGAGTGTATACCGCATATATAAGGCTTATGTTGCTTATGACAAGTGGAGTGTCTTGTCTTGCATTTGTCGTCGAGTTAAGCCAATACTGTCTTTAGAAAGCCTGTGCAAAGCACTTCATTTTTAATAACATGGGATTTTGGCCAAATGAAAAAAAAAAAAAATGAGCGTCCACGTAGCTACAGTAAACTTTATAACCTGATGAAAACATAATGCGAAGAACTACCTCTGTTCTTATGACGGACAAAACACTCGCTGGTCGAAAACCTGAGCTTGATTTTGGTCAAATTTGAATGATATAGTGACACATGTAAGTGTCTGACCATTAATAAAGCTACTATATCAACCTTTTTTTCCATTTCCTGAAAAGCAGCATTTTTGGAGGTTTCCACAGGAACTATGTTATTTATTTATTGCAATTATCATCATTAATAATAATTACAGAAAATAAAAAAATACAAAATCTTGCCTTGATTTGCCGTTTTGTTTGTTAATTTATAAAAGAGAGAGAGAGAGAGAGAGAGACTCAATACTTTATTGATCAAATGAGAATCATTGATCGTTTCACCCAGTATAAAGGTAGAGAGATCTCTGTGCTCCAAAGAGTGTCTGTGCTTGTTAGACTACTGAAAAATTGGTATTGTGAAATTCACATCAAAGTGACTTGTTTTTTTTACACATTCCTTTTTCTCGCCTTTTCTTCTCTCTGTAGGTAACATCAACGGGTGCACACTGAATTACTACTTCTTCCTCCTGGCCGCCATCCAGGGAGTCACACTCCTGGTCTTCCTCATTGTGTCTGTGAAGTATGACAAACAGAAGCCCAGAGCAGGGAACCACAGGCAGTCTCTGGCCAACTCATGACCCCCTTCATCATCAGCCAAACTCTCACCTTCACCATTCCTCAACCACCAACTATGTGATAAACTTTAAGCCTCTTAGTATTTCGAAAAATGAGGTAGGATTTGAAATGTTTGACTCAACTTGAATCCCCCTGTGTTTCTGGCCATTCTGTTGCCACCTTTAAACACTTGAAAGAAAACAAAACACAAAACTTACGCAATAATTAACTAAAATATTGTGTATGAAATGGTTGAAAATGAGGATCGTTCACTCCATCAGCGAACTGGATAATGAAATGCTTGTTTGTTGTAGTGTGTCGTTTGAACAACACTTATTCACAATTTGGGATTTTTGTTGTTTTCACTGTCAACGATATTACTGAATTCATTTATAAATTGAAGGTGGTTTTTAAATTGTTTACGATGGGTTGTACAACTAACTGCCAGTTTGAATTGAATATTTATTGAACCTTTTATTTTTCGTGGTTTATGCTCAAAAAGGTAAGACTGTATTCCTGTTCAAATTTATTTAAAATGGTATCTTTCTGTGGTACTTTAAAACATTTTTTTTTAACGAGAAACATTTTTTTAGGCACAATTTGCACTGTATGGTGTATCTTTGGTCACTTTATTCATTTTAAATTATTAATACATACAGTACAAATTGGCTGTATTTTGAGATACTGTTAATAATAATCGGCTGGTGTCTAAAATGCCAAAAGTGTCTGGCTACTCCTACAGTATCAAATGTGTAGACAATGAATCACAAGGAACCCATATAGTTATTGTCTGAACATCAGTGTGAAGTAGTTGATAAAAGTTGCATTGCAAAATACTTTTTAAATGAAATAATCAAATGCATAATTGCGTGCTTAACAATTTGATTACGTTTAACTTTGGTACTAAACCTGTGGCATTACAAGCGTTTCTTACTTTTAGATATTTTATCAGGCATTAGTTTTCCATTAGCTTGTTTTTAATCATTTTAATTATAAGTTGTAATATAATTAATAATGGTTATTATATGAGAAATTATGAATTTGCACAAAGTGTGCTGATATCATGATGCATGCACCTTTACAGCAAGAATATCTCTGCAAATGCAAGTGAATAGTGTTTCCTTTGGAAACACCCGCATCTTGTTTGTAATGATTCATGAGCTTTTCAAGATTACGTTTTTTGATGAACAACAAACCTCAAGCTCAGATTGTCGTCAAAATGAGGTTATGTAGTGAAATCACTTTGCACTAATCTCAAGCAAAAATCACATTCATAATTGAGGATTTAGAATCATGAATTTTACATGCAGGTTTATGATACATCCTTGTATACCTCAAATTCATAATATCATCAAGCTGTGTAGAGGGAGTCTTGCTTGATGTCATTTTTATGCACATTTGGCAACGACATTCCTTTTCGCTGCAGTTTTTGCAAACTAATAAGTCTGCTGTCTTCGCTATGACCACAAGCCACAAAATACAACACTCCCATTATGCTTCTATGCTGGTCCTTTGTATGCGTTTTCACAAACAGGTATTTCCTGAAGTTTGAGCTTTACTTTTTCAGCAGTTACACCTTGTGCCTTCAATGACAAAAGTTGCTCCACGTGACTGTTGCAACTGATGCAATTTTTTTTATCTCATCCTTACACTTTTACATTAGGTAGTTCAAAACAAGAGTGATCAAAATCCTCTCAAATGTGTTTTGACGGACAGTATTAACAGTAGAGCGGTTTGAATCCGAGATCAATTTGGTGAAAAAAACGTGGTAGGAGAAATGGGCATCATTCATTTTAACTGGGCATGAATAAATACTGTGTTAAAGCTTTTTAAATATGCAAAATGATTCTGTTTTCCCCAAAGAGTCTAAGATCATACCAGATCAATATTGAGTTTGTGCAGTGAAATTGTGATTTTTTTTTTCATGCTTTTGTTTAAAATTACATTTTCTTTTTCTGTTGTGGTTGTTGTTCAATAAAATGCGTCTGACCTCTAGTGTTTGTGTCTGTGAGAGAGCCGTTTGAAAACGAGTCGCCCGTTTATTACAGCTTTCATTTTCCAAGCTCGTATGCAAACCTTGTGATCTCTCCCATTCAATTGCATTTGTCTGATTTCATCAGACGAGCGTGAAATCAGAACATCATCACTCTTCGCCCAAGCATATCTCGAATGACGAGTCGTTTCCTAAGACTGTGACCGCCAGCGAGCTGTTTGATCTCCACCGCTCTTTTCCTTCCTCGCTCTGAGTCAGACTGTTGACACAGCCTATATATTTCTACCGCCTCCATGTTTTTTACAGTGTTGTGCTCTATTAAACAGCAGAAGAGCTGAAGGTGTAAGCACAGTAGATCAACGATGGATGCTTCATGTGACTCTGTAAGGTCAGTGTTCCTAAATATGACCCCTCTTGTCTTGTAAGAGAGAAAGATGTCTCAAAACAGGATTGCCTATATGCCTTATCTTGAAAATATCTTAATACACCATTCAACATGGCAAATCTTATTGTTGAACATACAGGCTTCTAATGCAGAGCTCTTACTATTAATGGCTTATTTACCGTGCAGTGCTAATTTAAAGATGATAATTTAATGAACATTGCTGGATGTTATTTGCAATTAAAAGTGTCTAATTTAATTGTAAAACATAAGTAAATAAACAGATTGCCATAATGCATAAACTATGCGTCATCAATGTGTATATATGTACTGTGTATATGTATATACATAGAGAGGGATTGTGACGTTAGCATTTTTGACATGTTTACATCCACACAGTACATCTGGCATGGCTGACTGCATTTCACATTTGATCTGAGACATTGACCTCACAGATATTATGTTCTTATGTGTGCACATGCCTGTGAACCATAAAGCTGCTCTGTGGGATATTGTAAATATGCATGTACCAGAAGGTGAGAGGTCAAGAGACATAGAGGTCAAGAGGCTGAGTGTCATATCAGCAGAACATGACCTGACCTTCTGCTGCTGTACAGTGTGTGTGTGTGTGTGTGTGTGTGTGTACAGGACATAAACAGGATTTTCTAATTGATCCTAAATCAATCCTTATACTTGAAATTATGGGAAATATGATTACCATATTAATAGAATAACTACAATCCAACTGTTGGCAGCAAACTAGCTAGCCCCTATTGAGTGAGAGAATAATTTCGGCTAATTTTGCAAACCTGTTACTCATTCTGGCATATTTATATCAGCCGATCTGCCATAAGAGAAAGTGTGGTCAAGTTCACACGTGCCTTCATAATCAGTCACATTATAGCCTTAATTGCTGACAGTGTTGTAAAACGGTCAATCACGGCGCTGTCTTATTTGGAATGATGCGCCCTCCGGAGGTCGGCTTTGTCTGCGGCTTTAATTATTAAGGCTGCTTCATTTCAGAAAAGTAACCATTACATTCGGTAAGAACGAAATTACAATAATTTAAGGCTCACGGGGAATAACAGTACATTTTATAATGTTTGGACCTCTGAAGGGCACAGCCTTCCAAATGAGACAATGGACCCTTTTCACATTTCCGGTCGTTCTTAGAAGCAAAGGCCGTCATAGTTGGGTAAACTTCTAAAGTGATGTTGATTATATGTCTGAACTTGTCTTACGCCGCATTTAAAAAGTATTTGAATGTATTTACATTCTACATTTTACTAAAAGAAGTTTGTTTGGTTTGAATGATAAAACAATTAGATTTATTTCAAAATTGTGAACTGTGTAAACTTGGAGAACTGACTTTATACATCCACTAAAATTCACATTGATACACCAGAGAACTATACAGTTTGGATAAATGGATAGTTCATCAACTAATTATGTCATCATTTACTCAACCTCATAAAAAAAAAACAGCAGGGAATGAAACTTTTAAGAATTTTGAAGTTGGTCCTAAACAAATATATGTGATCAGAATAGGCTACAGCACATACCATCAGTGGATTAAAATGATTTATGCTGCCAGATGGTGTAGTTACAGCATCATCCAGCAGGGACTAACATGACCATGCTAACCAAGCAGACCTTTGACCCTTTACATGGGACTGATGATCCTGAGCTCAACATATTCAGCCGAGGCTGACAGATGTACATGTCATGCCTAAGAAGAAAAAAAAGGCAGTATATAAATGGAGAGCAGGATTTTATGTTACAAGTCATGCTGAAATGAAATGCTCCCCCCTGCTGATGATGCCAGAAAATGAGCAGACGTGATTATAAAAGATGTGTTAATTACAGCCAGAGATCCATCAGTCATTCTCCCTCTCTGTGCCATAGATTATTCCTCCCCTAGTCAGCTCAGCTTGAAGTGCCCTTCACACCTCTGTTCACAAAACCCCTGTACAACACGCTCCCCATATATATCCATCTCGCCGCACTTAAAGACGCATTCAAATTTAATGGCAGGGAGACTGTACACAAATTTGTCAGGATACTAGAAAACAAAACTGTCTGTGTGCGTGTCATGGAAAGACAGAAGACGCGATAGTGTCAGACGGAAACAGGAAAAGAGAGGAGCCTCAGGCAATGAAAGAGGATGTGATTGATATGATACTCCTGATAAAAGAGAGAAGCGGAACGGCAGAGGAGGAGAAACGGGGATTAGAAATGTTGTACACTTTGGCTTTATTCAATACGGTTGTTTTCATTAGGCTTAGACCAGATCAATAATCTCACAGCAGCAACTGTAATTGTGTAGACATGACGCTACTGGTGCGTATTCAACAAATCTGAAAAACAAAAGCAGAATAACTGATAATTACAAGAGAGCTCTGCACGTGCGAGACTATACCAGAACCTGTTTTTAATAACAACTCTCCAAAGTTCTGTCAAATCTGAGCAACTTTGTGGTTGTGGGCTGTTAGTTTACTCAGACTGTCTTTAAAGGGTTAGTTGACCCAAAAATGAAACTTGGGGTGAACTATCCTAACCTGTGGAACACAAAAGCAGATGCTTGGCTGGATGATTTTGCTGCTCTATACGTTGAAAGCAAATGAGGACAGACGCTGCCAAGCTCAAAAATGTCAGAAACAGGAGCATAAAAGCAGACCACAGGGTTTGTGTGCTATATTCCAAGTCTTCGGAAGCCGGGTAGCTCTCCATCATTCGTGTTCACCTATGACGTGTCATACCAGGTTTGACAACATTGTCTCA